CGCTTTACTATCTTCTACCACCTCTTCAGTGGATCACTCAATGTTGTACTCCCTTTTGTCACATGAACAATCCAGGACAAGAGCTACAGTGACAGTGAAGCATAGACTGAGAACAGACATCTTTAACCATACACTGAAACAATGAAGAATTCCTTTAACTAATTTTCAATCATTCCAGTACTTAGAGAGCTTTAATGAAAATATTGTATTTTGCAGAATGAAGATGGGGGATTCTTAAAAAAACTTTTTATACATATAAAGAATAATATGTTTAAGACACAAACTATATGCTGTCTGCTTGTGGTTCAATTCTTTAAGCAACCTACTGAACAATGCTGGGTAGGGTTAAGTACAGACTGTTTCACTGCAAGAACAATATGGAACTAATGAAGCATAAACATTTCCTTGAAAATGATGGTAGGCACACCTTAGTTACAAATCAACATTCCCTGGTATTATAAACAAACAACCTTTTGATTGTGCTGGCACAGGCCTGACAGTCAAGCCAGTAACTGAGTGTTAGTGAGTCTAACCATTGTTGAATTTGCCTAGTGTGAAGCTTTTGCCATTCTCAGAGTTTTTGTATTATCTTTTGATCTTGTTTTTGCCATTGCTTGGAAAGAAAAGCACACGTGATATATAAGACAGAGTGACTCACTGGAAATGGGAAAGGAAACATGGATTCCAATTGATAGATTACCTTAAGGGGGCCTCAAGTCAGTCTACATTTTTCATCTTAACCCAACTCACCCTTTGAAGAAATTTAAGATGAAATGAGATTTTAAAACCTGAAAATTTCACCAATTGCTTTGACAATTTAGAACTACAGTTCTCCGTGAATTGGAAAAACCACAAATATTGGAACCCCATTGTTTTTAATGGCCGTGTGGTCCTGCGTGCGCCCCATTTTGTCTCTCCTGGCTTCTTGTCCATGGAAGCCAGGACATTTTGCATTTTCCTTCTTGACCTTCCTTAGTAATTGTTCCTAGTATATACTGTTTTCTACTAGTAGTAGTAATACATCCTATACAGAGTAATATAAATTAAATAATATCATAGACAAAAGATATATTTTGAAGTTAGTGTTATTGGTTCTGTATTCAAGGAAGATAGAAGATTCTCTTATAGTAATGGAAGAACTGCAGAGTATATATTTGATTCAAATATGTATGCATCTGGGAATGTAATAAAACTGATATTCAGCTACCAGAAAACTGAACCCTTAGAAAAGATCAGAATCCTTCACTTGCTTGCATATTGAATTTTATACTTTGATTGAGAATGAATTATTTTAATTTTTCCAAGTGAACAGTGTAATGATTTGGGGAAAGCTTAAAAAAACAATTACAGTTGTCCCTTTGGATTTGCTGACTTCCCATTCATAGTTTTAAATTTCCATTATTTAATTGATATTACTGTGTATAGGATGTATTACTACTAGTAGTAGAAAACAGTATATACTAGTCCTCAACCACTCTGCTTAGGTCTTGCAGGCTTAAGCCCATGGCCTCTTTGATTGAGTCCATCCATCTGGCATGACTTTCTTTCTGCTGCCTTCTACCTTCTCTAGCATTATTGTCTTTTCTACTGATTCATGCCTTCTCATAATGTGGCCAAAGTACAATAGTCTCAGTTTAGTTATCCTAGTTTGGGTTTGATCTGTTCTAGGACCCATTTGTTTGTCTTTTTGGCCATTCACAAAATCCTTAGCACTCCTCTCCAGCACATCCCAAATAAGTTTATTTTCTTTCTGTCAGCTTTCTTCACTGTCCAGCTCTTGCATCTGTACATGGTGATGGGGAATATGATGGCTATGACTATCCTCAGTTTAATGTTCTGAGTTACATCTTTGCACTGTTCTTTTATAGCTGCTCTTCCCAGTCCTAGTCTTCTTCTAATTTTTTGACTGCAGCCTCCATTCTGATCAATATTTGAACCCAGGTATGGGAACTCTTTGGCTATTTCAATTTTTTCATTATGTAGGATGAATTCCTATAGATCTTCTGTGGTCATTATTTTTGTTTGCTTAATGTTCAGCATTAAGCCTACCGTGGCACTTTCCTCCCTCCATGACCTTTTTCAGTAATTGCTCCAAGTCTTTTTTGTTTCTACTAGTAGTACTGTGTTGTCTGCATATCTTACGTTGTTGATACACTTACATCTGATCTTCGCTTCTCCTGCTTCTGAGTCTACCAGTAATCCTGCTCCATGTACATTATTGTCTACATACAGGTTAAATAAATAGGGTGATAGTATGCAGCCTTGCCTGAACCTTTATCATCAGTTTATTTCCTAATAATATTTACCACACATTAATTTTTGTTCATCTGTAGCCTGAACTGTTATACATTATTACACACGTTGCAAGATTTGAAAACCATCTTGTTGAAGCAACAGGTCTACATTTGATCAGTGACTAGATGAGAGACCACTTTGAGGATCATGGAAGAAAGGAGTGTTTATTAAATAATGAATACATAATGATATTAACATACTTTTAGATATATATATCCATATTGCTTCATGGTGGCTGATTTCTTGTTTTAGGAATCTCCTTCTGGACGCCGGAAAGCTCTTGCTACAAGCAATATTAACATGAAGCAATATGCCAGTCCCATGCCTACACAGACTGATGTCAAGTTGAAATTCAAGCCTTTGTCTAAAAAAGTTATATCTTCCACCCTGCAGTTCTCTTTATCATGTATTTTTCTGAGGGAAGGAAAAGCAACGTAAGTTCTTTGTGTGAATTTTGACTTTTGCTTTTATTTTGTTTTTTAAGTTTGCAACAAAGTGATTATGGACAAGTTTACAGTGCCAGATCCTGAGAATATTCTCAGATAAACTGAGTTGATTATAATATCTCATTCACAGTAGTTTCCTGTGGCATAATTGTTTAAGAAAATGAGCTTTTGGCTCTTAGTGTAGTTTCACGTTGGCTCTGACGTACTAACTGATAATATGAAATGATAATATGAATCTACCTTATGAAGTTGTTACACACATTTAGCAGATACATAGAGGACAGACATTAGTTGTTACAGTATTTTATAGATTTCTGTATGTATGAAACAAGCAAGGGGCTTCTATTAGCAGTACAAGTTACAGGTTGTCTCCATACACAAGTAGAACTGATATATGTGTTGGTGTAAATAACTTTGGCACATTACTTTCTCTCTTGGTGATTAGATTTACTTTGGGGTTTTTGAGAGGGGGGGAACTAAGTTGAATCCCATCAGAGATAATAGGTTGCCATTCAGTATACATAAAAGTGGAGATTTAATACATCTGGCCACTTCCACTAAGTGGAATCTTGAGTACTATGCGGAAAGACATTATGACTGATACTCGTGGTATTCACAGTTTATTTGAAGTAGCTGAATACAAACAACAAAAAGGACAATATCATCATGGGGTTTTTGTTGTTGTTAGGGATGAAGACATGCAAAGCCTGGCAAGTCTGATGAGTATGAAGCAAGCAGATATTGGAAATTTAGATGACTTTGAAGAAGATAATGAAGATGATGAAGAAAACAGAGTGAACCAGGAAGAAAAGGCTGCAAAAATTACTGGTTTGTCCCTCCTCCACTCCATAAAATGTTACAGTTAAAATTGCTTTTGCTTTCCAACTTGTTTACA